GTGTGTGTGTGTGTGTGTGTGTGTGTCTGTGTGTGTGTGTGCGTGTGTGTGCGAAGGTTGTTTCATAATTTCACAGTAGACTGGCTCGAGAGTTCTTCTTTGACTGCAGCTAATCATCGGCTTCTTTGTCTTGCCAACATACAGTAGGATCTGTGTGTTTTTAATGATATCTGAATCTGGCTTGAAATCGTATACTCGCGCACAACTACGTATGTACAGCACTTTTATCCTTGAAGCACGTCCATTGATATTCATAGAGCTCATATTCCTATCCGTATGCTCTACCACAGAGATTGGAGCCCATCGGGTGGTGCCCTGGTACTTCTCTCCGTATCCCGAGGAGTACACCAAACTGCCTGTGCTATATCTGTGCGAGTTCTGCCTGCTGTATGTCAAGTCGAAGACCTGCCTGAAGAGACACAGGGTATGGTAGAGGTCTCGAAACGATCACTGAATATGATTTTTGTATGTGTGTCAATGTGTGTCAAGGTATGTGTAGTTTAATACGAGTCTATATATATATGTGTGTGATTTGTATGCATGAATGGGTGAATGGGTCGGTGTGTGTTCACACATGTGTGTATACAAACGTAAGCGTTGCTGCATCTAGAGGTTCTGCCTGCTGAATGCCAAAGTCGAAGATCTTTATGAAGAAATACGGGTATGAGGGTCATTTCATATCGAAGGCTATTTGTGCGTATGCATATGTGCAATTATATTTATGTATGTAGTCTGAGAACTGTGTGTCTGTCTATACTCAATGCGCGCGGGTGGGTGAGTTTTACCTATGTACAACCACAATCCCAAATATAAACATGTAGTAGAAAAAAGATGCTTCTTATCTCCAAGCCTATACAACTTGTGTTTACATCTGGGCATGGCGCCTATGTCAAATGAAGTTATCCTATCTCATGGCACGTGCCAATAGTGTCAACAGTGTCTATAGTGTCAGTAGTGTCAATAGTGTCTATAGTGTCAGTAGTGTCAATAGTGTCAACTCTTGCTACCTCAAGCCTAATAGCTGATTACCAACTGTTTGCATGCAGCACTCCTGGAACACTTAGTTTTCTAACCCCCCCCCCCGACCACCACCACCAAACAAAAAAATACAAAAAAAGAAAAGCATGTCACACGACCCTGAAATAAACACCGCTCTCTCCCGGTCGACTGCAATTTGAATTCCCTTTCCCTTTGCTTTGGTTTTGTCCTCTAGGTCAAATGCGGCCTGTTCTATCCACCGGGGAACGAAATATACCGCAAGGGCGAAATATCATTCTTCGAAATCGACGGGCGCAAGAACAGGGTGCGCGGATTAGTGCACGTGGTTGCACACGTGTTGGTTTAACCTTGTGCACATGTTTGTTTGATCTTGTGCACGTGTTGGTTTGACCTTGTGCACGTTTTGGTTTGACCTTGTGCACGTGTTGGTTTGACCTTGTGCACGTGTTGGTTTAACCTTGTGCACGTGTTGGTTTAACCTTGTGCACGTGTTGGTTTGGGTTCAGCGAATGGCCCGGGTGGATATGTTGTAGCGTTAGCTGCTGCTGAGTGTATTTTAAGTTGTCTGTTGATTGGCATGCTCGGTTCAAAGATACTTGATCTGGATAGTTGTGGGCGTATTGAGCTGTCCCCGCCACGAGATGAACAAGTCTATTCATGCCTACATGTGCCAACAAGTTCCTTCATACCTACATGGACAGGTCTTATTCATCCAATGTACTCGTGCTGCCGCCGTATTTGCTTTTGCCATCGTCCGTTCGTGGTATATCAGTATATTGTACTACTGACATCCACCTTTGCATTGTCTGATACACCAGACGTGTTACTTATATCTACTTTTGGATTGCCTGACAAGCTGGGTAATACATACTTTATATGTCACACCACCCGCACCAAAGCATACTGCCATGGCCATATAGTCGTTCCTCCGCCGTGATATGTTCTATTAATAGAACTGTGTACTGTGTTGTGGATCCCTCCCAGTTCACTGTAGTGGCTTTCGAGTACAAGTTCAGTTCGGCATCTTCTGCGGATGTGTAACTCACCTATTGTATATGCATATGACTCTACACACAGCGCACGCCTTCTTTAGTACACGCCAATACACCCCTCCTTCCTCATACCTACCCAAATACCCATATCCACCCATACCCATGCGCGTATCCTATCCATCCGTTTCAGACCTACTGCCACAACCTCTGCCTGGTAGCCAAGCTGTTCCTGGACCACAAGACCTTGTACTATGATACGGACCCCTTCCTGTTCTATGTGATGACTGTGCGGGATGAGTATGGCATGCATCTAGTGGGGTACTTCTCCAAGGAGAAGGAATCGGTGGAAAACTACAACGTCGCGTGTATCCTGACCATGCCGCAGCACCAGCGCAAAGGATATGGCAAGCTGCTGATTGAATTTAGTACGTGTGCTGTTCCGTGGGTGTGTTTGTGTGCGGGAGTGGTAGTACGTGTGCTGTTCCGTGGGTGTGTTTGTGTGCGGGAGTGGTAGTATGTGTGCTATTCCGTGTGTGTATCCATGTATTGTGTACGTCTGTGTATGCACACTTAAGTCTACTCATACCGCAGCACCAGCGCAAAGGCTATGGTAAGCTGCTCATTGAATTTAGTACGTGTGCTGTTCTGTGGGTGTGCTTGTGTGCGGGAGTGGTAGTATGTGTGTTATTCCGTGTTTGTATCCATGTATTGTGTACGTCTGTGTATATGGATTCATTGCGATGTACACTTAGTCTACTCATACCGCAGCACCAGCGCAAAGAATATGGTAAGCTGCTCATTGAATTTAGTACGTGTGCTGTTCCGTGGGTGTGTTTGTGTGCGGGAGTGGTAGTATGTGTGCTATTCCGTGTGTGTATCCATGTATTATGGACGTCTGTGTATATGGATTCATTGAGATACACACTTAGTCTACTCATACCGCAGCACCAGCGCAAAGGTTGTGGTAAGCTGCTGATTTAATTTAATACCTGTGCTCGTATGACTGTGAAACTATTTGTGCGGAAATGCTTGTTAGTGTGTGAAAGGGTGGGGGATTGCATAATGTTTACTTTAATTGTGAATGATATATATCTTGATTTACAGTCACTTAAAAATCATAATCATATACAACCACTCGACTTCGAACACGCAGGTTACGAATTATCTAAAATAGAGGAAAAAACAGGCTCACCGGAGAAGCCTTTATCAGATCTGGGACTGCTGAGTTACCGAAGTTTCTGGAGTCAGATGATCGTGGAGGTGCTCAAAACGACAGGTGTGCTCATCAAACGCATGCCAGTGCGAGTGCGCATGTTTGTGCTACAGTACGCGCCCAACCCGCTTGTGCACTTGACAGCCCGGGTACTGAGTTTGTTTGGTACTATCACCAGCCATGTCATGACCAGCCTAGGCTACCTTATTGTGTATCGGCAGAAAGTTTGAAACATTTTGTTTTCTGTGTCTATTGTATGCGATATCTAATTCGGAGAGGCAATGGAAACCGAGAGTACAGGGACCTCGAAGAACCCAATGATATTTGCCATTGTGTTTACATACATGTGCACATAAGCTTGCTTTAAAAACTACATACATGTATATCTACACTCTGTCTATACATGTATGAGTCCGATTGGTGAAACATTACGAAGTTGTTTCTCGCACAGAACAGTACAACCAGGGGTAGATAACAGCCGTGGTCATACGCGTGTACACGTGCTTCTGTAACCACCCTACTCAAGCAGACAAACTGATTCCTGCTACAGACCCCAGTGTACATCTGTCGATAGAAGAGGTTGCTAAGCACACGGCCTTCACAGTGGAAGATGTCATGCATACCCTCACAACCAACAACATTATAAGATACTTCAAGGTAAGTGTGTGTGCCTATGAGTGCGCATGGAGTGGGGTAGGTCGGATTCCCACCATTGGTGGTTACATGTTGAAAGGATCATACTTTCATGAGGCTAAGAATTGGTTAGTGTTGATTTTATTCGTACTATATAGATCTATATAATTAGTTAATGTTCGCATTTGAGTCTGTTTGTGTACGGCTCATGTCCCGAGGGCCCGTGGTGTACCATTCGCCCGACCAATAAGCTAGTTCCAGATGTTGGCGCGATCTCGGCTGAACTTTAATTAAATTAAAGTCTATCGGTGGTATCTCCGAGTGTAGTGGTAAATGTCATGCCGTGTGCACACCCTTTGGCCCACACACGCTTCGGCTGGAACATGTGCTCACACGTATGCCTTAATAAGTTGTTCCGGATAGGGGTGGTTGTCTCTCGCATTGTAGTTCACCAGCTGTGCGCTGCCGTTTATGTTCATTCCGTACACTTATCTGTAAACCATAAACCCTGCATTCTTGTGCATGACATAGCTCTGACTCTAGACCTTACTTCATTCTGTTGTAGGGAGGTTATGTGTTCTGCTTGTCGCAGGATTTATTAGACGCACACGAGAAGTCTATGAAGAAACAACGGAACCGCATAGACGGTGACAAGATACAGTGGGTCCCCGTGGATTGGGCAAAGAGGGGCAAGTGGTAGATAGGAATATAATACATACATATGCATATATGCATACATACATATGCATATATGTATACATATATATGCATATATGCGCATGACCGGCAGAGTGGTAGATCAGCTTATACGGAGGCGGCATTATGTACAAACGAACATAGAATAGATCATTTCTCAATTATGCAATAAAGACACAACTTATGATGGGGATGAGTCAACCGTGACAGAGGATGTGTTGAGTGCGCTTGGTCAGTGACAGGGATCGACTGTAACTCTTTGGCGTACCGCACACGCCTATACTACAGCTATACCTTGTAACAATTGAATATGAGAACAATGGTCACAACAAAGCCCAGGCCCAGAAACTTGTATAGTCATCTCCTTCAGTAATCAACTGATATCTGCTCACTACCTAATAAGAACTGATGTACATTTCTCTCTCAGTTGTACTCATTACACTCGCATTCAGTTGCAGCATGCAAAAAGTTTTAGTCTGTTAAGTTTAAGTGAAGTGAGGTGGAAATATCCGGCGAAAAAAAATGAATGAAAGCTTCTTAATTGTGATGAACTTAATGATGAAAGCTTTTTAATTGTGAGCGGCATACCCTTCTGAATGAACATGAGCCGTTTACTACTAGATACAGATTGCGATGTGCTTGTGCTCGTGCTTAAGGTAGCCCGGCTAACACCACAACCTGACCATTTTGCGGTAGAAATTTACTAGTGTGTAAACTTTACTGTGATACTTTCTCTGATAAAAGGCCGTGCAACTCTTGCCAGGTAGGCAGCCCATTACGTGCACCCATCTCTCCTATCTTCTTGCCCGCGACATTTGCTGCAACGACAAGCATATGTGCAGGCGTTAGGCGTGCACTCAGTCCATAGACTATACCTCCAATGAAAGCATCACCAGCGCCTGTGGTATCAACCACTTGCTCGACCTCTACAGCCGGACACTCTATCACATATATACATTCCAGCGTGCTAGCTGTATGTGACGTCGAAGCAGGCACAGTTTCTGATGTAAAAGTATTAGTGGAGGTATTATTGTTGTTAGAGGCAGTGTGCTTTGTATTGCTCATATCTACATATCTACGGCTTTCGTCGGCAGTGACATGTATAAACGTACTGGTGACCTTCAACCCATATATTTCTTCGCAACCTTCCGATACTTCTGATGTGCATTCGCTTTTCCGCACCACCAAAACAGACCCAGCTGAACCTAAAGTGGTAATGACCATCTTCGCATTGCTTTCCAGTAATAAGCTACACATGGCTTCCACACGATTGTTACTAGTGGGATTATACAGCTGAGGGTAGGCTGTGTTGGTGACTAAGTAATCTGCCAAGGGTATTAGATCTTGCAAGCCGTCCCTTTCGCGTTCAACATCCAGTAAGACCGGTATACACCTCTGCTGTGCAGCTTTGGCCAACATAATTGCAGCCTCTGTGTGTCGCGTGTCAAGTATGCACATGGTGGCATTCTTCAGTATAGCGCCTGGGTAGAGATCACCGCAAAGGACACCCTCTGCTGCCGGGGAATGTATACATGTGCGCGTAGAGGCACTCTGATCGACAATGATATAGGTAAGTGGGGTTTGCAAATAGTCTCGTATATACACATGATCTACACATATACCCTCTTTTATTAATTCATCGCGGACCAAAGCTCCATTAGCGTCTTGGCCAATCTTCGCTACCAACGAGCAGGATAGCCCTAATCTACTCACTGCTACTAGTGTATTGGAACAGTTGCCACCCCCGTAGTATTGGATCGGATCAATTGTGCGTGTCTTTTCATCAGGCTGGGGGTAGGTCCTAACAGCCGCCAACATATCAATACCACACGCACCAAGCCCAACGATACGGTGGCTAGAGTCCACCCGTGCAGATTTGCTCATCGTATGTATTTTCGTCCAACCTTATATTCAATGCCTCTTATGTAGAATTTACCTTCAAACAATTAGTTCACTGGCCCGATGTATTGGTATATAATGTAGGATGTTAACTATTCAACCTGTTGTATTATGTATCTCACTTTGTAATGATCGGATAGAGTTTGCTGTTCAGCACTTAAGTTATGGTCCTTATGACGCGACACGCGAACAGACTACTTTGTTACGAAAGATGAGGAATTTCTTTTATTGACATACGATTTATTACATAAATCCCCGGCCCCAGTGACCGGCGACATGCTAAATGCTAATGCAAAATAGAGAATAAATATGAAGAAAAATCTCCATACATAAATACATTGCCTTGTTCTGAAAAGAATCAAATCTGATAAATATTTTACACTGTACATATTTACCAAATTTTCGGTTCCTATTTTTGGATTTATTGAAATAAAAATCAGGTCAAAAAAAGGATTTCTGAGCATGCCCCTCAGTATTGTGGTATACATACAGCACTTATGGAGTTGTCCAAAAGATCCTAGATTCCAATTTGAACCATATTACTGAATATTTATACCCGAAAAACCAATTTGATTCAGTGTATTTCAATACAAAGCAACCGGATTTTTATAGTTCCTCAATTTCCATATAGCGCATCCCTCTCAATGTGTATATAGTTTTGACCCAATGGTTTTATTTTATTTTAGGCTTAGTGCAAAACTCAGGATTTGTGAAAACGGTAATACCAATTTCCAATTTAGAAAAAGAAGAACAAGAAGGCCAAATCTGTATCATTTTTTTCCAAAAGGCTATGGCCAAATAAATAAATATTTTTCCCACTTCAAACTCCAAATTTCGAAATGCACTTAAGCCCTCTAAATGAGACATTAGAAGGCTATTTTAGATTTTATCATAGCCTTCTGTTCAATTTTCAGAAGGCTACTTATGTGTTTCAATTTTAGAGCTATGACTATGATTTTATTTCAATATAATAAAATAAATATATTGGAAGGCTTATTCCTACATATTTTTATAAATATGTATTTAATTAGACAATAGTGTATTTATGTATGTATTTAAGTGAAACTGTTTTTTTGGAAGAAATAAATATGTACTCAGTATGTATTTACATACTGTAATTGTTTGTTTATTTATTTTAATAAAAAAAATATATAAAATAAAAACAAAAACAAAAAAAATACAAGAGAGTGAAACGTGAGTCGTGAGTCGGGGACTCGAGTCTTCCAGGCCCAGGCCGCCCAGCTGTCCTGGCACATTGTTGGCACACAAGAGGCCCGCACCAAATATTTCAAGTTCGGTACGATTCGATGGTTTTCAATGACGACAACGTCATAATGATGAGTGGACACAAAAATCACAAGTTGACTGATGGTACAATGATAACTGGAACTTTTATGAGTTGTGGCTGTACTCAAAAAATTCCAAAATGTTCGCGTTTCTGTGTTCCTGCCACCTGCAGTTTGAACTCTTTGAAGTTGACATGACATTTATCCTCAATAAAAAGCTTTCTACCTCACATGCAGGTTTTTTCCTTTGTATTGTCCTGTAAATAGATTCCTGATAGTCGAGCTTAAATAACGGTTGCTAAAAAATTAAATACATCATTATTACATTTGAATCTGACGACAGGGTCTCTGCGATACCTTGTGAATATATCAAGATGCCACCCAATGCGTTAAAAGAGCGTGCTATAGACACCACCTGCGAGTATGAAGAAGATCACACTATTACCAGCAACCAGCAGATCGATTATTTAAAGGCTCAACAAAAAAAGTTACCAACTGACCTAGTCGAGGTCTGCCGGCACCTCCCTAAAGATATCTTCCAAATTAGGCCATTCAGAGCGTATCTTGCTGCCTTTCAGGTGTGTTTTATTGTGTGTCGCATAATAGGACCGAGTACGTCCAGTCTTTTTCTAGTAGCATATCGGACAATTTACCTGAGAATCAAACCGATAGAATACTCAACTGAACCTCATTCGCTTTCATTTGACAGGCTGTAGGAATGACAGCTTTGTCGTTGTACCTTTTGACATTTTGTCACTCTTGGTGGTCCCTCTGCATTGGCTGGGCTTTTGCCGGTACTTGTGCTACTGGAATGTTTATCATCGGACATGAATGCGGTATGTATTGGCTATTTTCAGAACCATCTGCTTATCCCTCTTTTTGAGCATCGACGTACAACTGTAAAGTTTTTTTCCCTACACCGTTGTATATGATTTCTCAATCAATTAATCAACGGACAATGTATACTTATAGCACATGGTGCTTTCAGCAAATCATCACTGGAGAACGCATTCGTTGGAACAATAGTGATGGCGCCACTCGGATGGACATATCATGGTTGGAGGATAACACACAACCACCACCACGCATATACGAACCAGATAAACAAGGACCACTTGTGGAGTCCCTTGGACCACGAAATGGTTGCAAATACATGTAAGTATATTCGTTCACACCCATATTGTCGTGTTTTTTGTTCTCGTGTCATTGCGGAGGTCATTCTTTCTGGTATGATGTATAGCTAACATTAATTCAATTTTCTTTTCATACCCCTTGCAGCAAATGCCGTGTTGAAAGTACTCGAGTATTTTTATGTTGGGCCTCTGTTCTTCGAGAGTAGTATTTTGCACCATTTTGCAAATCTGAATATCTTCATATTCCCAAAAAGGCACTGGAAGAACCTAATTTCGAGTAATTTATTCGGTATGTGGATGAAAAAATCTTTTTTTACAAGAATTAGCATCCAATTCGGAACCAAGATTTATTGTTCTGAACACCACTACAAGAAGATATATATTCTTGATACCACTACAAGAAGATCCATATTCTAGATACCACTACAAGAATTACGTTGACGAATACTAACGAACGCACACTTTTACATCAGCTTTGGCTGCTACATTAGGTTTATGGTACCACTTCTACTATAATCTTGACAATGGCGACAGTGGCTGGTGGGCCGTGTTCAAGTATTGGGGTGCACCATATCTTTGCTTCAATTTTTGGCTGTCCACACATACGTATTTCCACCACAAGTCGAGGGATATTGGCTGGATTGAGAAAGCGAATTGGAATAAAGCACAAGCCCAGGTATGTTCAACTACTGATACCATGTAAAATTGTATATTTACAAACAGCGTACACTGACTGAAGGGGTATTTTTTGTGATCTCCCTTAGCAGTTGTTGTTGCCAATACTATGACTGTCTACTCACTAACGAATATTGATATTGCTTTACAGCTTTTCCATACAGCCCACGTGGACTATCACCCCATAGTCGAAATGCTACACTTCGACATCAATTGGCATGTGCCTCACCATGTGTCGACACGAATTCCATGGTAAGTGACAATAAGATTGGTTATTTGGTTTCCCTTTTTTTTCGAATGGTATTTATTTTTTTCCATATCAAAGTATAATAAATCTATCGTCAACTGCACAATGCTACCTCCAGGTACAATCTTCGACGTGCGACTTTCGCACTTATTAAGGCATATGGTGACAAGATCCATACCTACGAGATGAGCCCCACGTACTGGATGGAAGTGACTTCTGAATGCCACGTGCATGATGACGTGTCTAAATATGTGAGTGTGGGAGAGTCAAAGGAACGCTCGGAACGTGAGAAACAAATAGCTAGCATGGAAGCTAGGAAAACAAAAACAAATTAGTTTAAGGTTAATGAATAAACCTAGATGAATATAAATACATTCTTGAGTTCTAAAGCTACTAGTAGAGTTTAATTTTCGAAGTTCGAACAATGGTGTTTTAATGCTACTATTCCCTACTGATAAATAGACCCGCCGCACAGGCTCATTTCTCTTCGAGTTGTTATTCGATGTAAAATGTGAAAGGTAGTTAGCGTAGCGTCTGTTCTGGAGCAGAGTGGTGAAGTAACTGTATAGCAACCAATTACATCTCTTAAAATTCAGCAAAACTTCCATGTCGGTTCTTGAGTGTATATTTATTTAGAGTTGAAGTTCAAAATGAATACATAGGTTTTAATATACATTATTAACTTGCATTAAAGCTACAGTATTGAAGAGGGGATCAGCTCGAGTGAGTTTCTTTTTTGTACTTCGTTTGATGCTATTTATCATTCTCTGCTTCTAACAAGGTATAGCCACCGACTCGCAGGCTCAATTCGCTTGAGATGTATATCGATGAAAAACGAAAATGGTAAATCCAAATAGCGGCTCACGCGTCTGCTCTGAAGCAGAGTGGTGAAGTAACTCCATAGCAGCCGGAGTACAATGAAGTAACTGCATAGCAGCCAAAGTATAATGATGTAACTGCATAGCAGCCAAAGTCCAGTCAACAAAATGTTTACATCGGCTTTTGAATATATACGTTTTGCGACGAAGTAGTAGTCTGGAAAGAAAATAAAAAGAAATTAGAGTGATGTTCATGAATGAATCCGGGTACTATGGTGTAGCAACCGCATCACAAGCTCAATTCTTTTGAGATATACATTGATGCAAAACGATAAGGTGAAATGTAAATAGTGGCCGACACGCGTCTGCCCTGAAACAGAGCGGTGAAGTAACTGCATAATAGCCATACTCGAGCCGAAATTTTATATCGGCTTTTTGATTATATTTGTTTTCTTTGTGATGAAGTAGTGCGAACAAGTTTAATATGCCAATCCATTCCATCGATTTGGTCAGAATCTACTGTCTCTAATGCCCAGTCAGCTGATATGCTTGACTATACAGAAATCATCTGCATTCCATAAGAGATTCAACTAAACCATTATAAGACAACTGACTGTATTACAAGTGTACAAGCGATCCATTGACAGTCAGTGAGCCGTAATGTTGGAGAAAGAATCCGACAATAGACAAAAGGGCAATAGACAAAAGGTACTACAGTAACCAAGAGAATCCCGCGGATGAAAAGAAATCAACATAAGTGTGGTACTTAAAAATAATTCGTTTCAATTTTTAAGACATCAATGATATATTTTTTAATAACACAGTTTTAAATCTAGTGTAGTCTGGGCCAGACTGCGACTGCCTATGACAAACAATGTCAATTAAACCAGCATACGGTATTGTATGAACATATTTATGAACTCTCCGAGCCGCAAAACGTGAGTCTGATGCACTGAAGTCTTAGAAATTAGTCATCGAATAAAAACTGTAAATAAAGCCTCTTCTGTGATTATTTTTACTACGTTACGTTACAGTGATGCAACTTTACATACTGCCTTGGGTTTGATTTTCTCCATTTAAAACTCTCTGATATCTCCAGTGAATCGACTGAACAGTGAACAGTCAACATTGTTCACGTCTCAGTTATTTGGTTGACAATTCCAAATAAGGGCTCAGTTCTGTAAGATTAACTACAATTCGCATTGTGTTGGACGGTGACCTCGCAGGACGCAGGTCGAGTACCAGAACTTCACAAACAAATATTGATATTTATTTATAATATTTACGTAAAACGCAAAATATTTTTTACAAGGTTGATTTTTATTTAATAATAATAATAAAAACAATGTACAAGAAATAGATGCTGTTTGGACAGGCGGGCACATTGGACAGGCATTTTCTCGGACCAATTGGACTGGACAAGACGTATGAATTTCCGGACGGGCTGGACATGTTCATAGTTGTATAACTCTATATAAAATACTGTAGTGGTGTAACCCATCCAAATATCCGAATATCTATTGCATTTCGACCAAAATTATCTAAAAAATAAAGATTCCAATAAACCAAGGGATATCAAATAAATAGCGCTCAAAGCGAATATAGAGTATAATATAGCGACAAATATAACAAATTATCTTGGAGTCTCGGACTGTCCAACGGACAATCATAAAACTGGACAAACTGGACAAGGAGGCTTTCTGACTGGGACAAATGGACAAGTCAAGATTTCGTTTGGTATTACTATTTATTGACGTTCATGGTCCTATGGACGGCAAAAAAAAATCCAGACAGGAGTATTTAATTGTCCATTGTTTTTTAATAAAAAAACAACCCTGGTGAGTGGTGACGTATGCTTTTTTGTGTTTTGATGGTTTTGAAAGGTCATTGAGTCATGATGAGTCCCTGACTGATGACTGTCGGATTTATTTTTTTGTCAATATTTTATGTTCTTTTGTTTTTAAAAACAAATACGAAGCGCTCTTGTATAATTTTTCGGGCTATGGTTCTCGGGCTCGACTTCGTGTTTTTTTATTTTAAAAATAGATGATTGACTGATGAACTGCCTATTTTTTTGGTTTTGATATTTGTTTTTAAAAAATTCAAATGGACAAACAAAACAAATATTTATGTCCACAGTCCACACTCCATTAGACTCCAGTCTCCATACTCACAGTCCACAGTCATCATGACATCAGGTGATAGGGAGTGTTAAACAAATATTGACGTCACCACTACTAAATCTGAATTTTGTTGTTTTTTTGCCAGAGTAGACGGTATATTTTAAAAAGCATTTTTATATTTATATATATTTCAATTACTTGATCGACACTCGTGACTCGACACTTCTCTCTCTCTAAATACTATTTAGAATAGATACTCTGAAGCAGTGAAGCTACAGACAATGATGTCCATAGTCACAGAGATAATGGTGGCGATAGAAAAGAGCCTGCATTGGGATCTATCTAGCGAGAGTAGAGATTGAGAAACAGTAGAGATTGAGAAACATGGACGACGTAATTATTTATCAGTAAAGTATCAGTATTCAACTACAAGCGAAATCTCCAGACGGATGTATGGATAATATTATATAAATAAGCAGACTCCTTTCCTACTAAATCGCCATAAAGAACAGAAAAACAAAAACCTACGAAAGGTGTTACAGTTAAAAGAACATGAAGTTCTCATTAATCAACACAATCAAAGCTCTGGCGTTTGTCGCTGCCACGGCTTTCGCTATTCCTACTGCGAACCTGCCCTTTACATGCCCCGAAGACTGTACAGAGTACTACGATGGTTGCAATTCGTGCACATGTGGTAGACCAGTTTCTGTATGCACACAGAAGATCTGTGTAGAGCTGGCAGAACCTAAATGTGTGCAGAAGAATGAGGGGCAAGACAAAGTGATTGCAGAGCAAGACAACCTGATTTTACCCGAAGATGCAGCCGTGGATATAATTGAAGATTTAGAGGAGGATGAAATACCTTATGCGATGGCTGATGCGGAAGAGTCGATAGTATACACTGTCGAGGATACTATTGAAGATTTAGAGGAGGATGAAATGCTTTATGCGATGCCTGATGTGGAAGAGTCGACAGTATACACAACGTAAATTAAACGAGCTTTACGCAGAGAAAATATATAAATTTCAAGATATCTGGACTCATCAATGTTTGCTTGAGCTTAATATTCATTTGCTTGTACTTCATCTTGTAAACAATGGTTTAGAATACTGAGTACACAACTCTAACTATCAGAAGAATAAATACCAATTGCTCGAATAATACTGATTTCATCAGATCTATGGCTGAGTATCACTAAATTCCCTCGGAAAACGTGAGGTAATTGGTTGAATATTACTGGTTTCCTGTGGAGAGATCGGACGTTGCAATTCACGAGATATCAATTGTTTCGCTTCAATCTGTTGCAGAACGTATCAAAAAGTGTATTTTTCTGACTATAAGCGTGAAGATTAATTGTGGATACTTTATTTGTTCGTGCATGTACTCATCCACACAGTGCGGCGCAAGGTCAAACAGCACCGACCCCAATTTCAAATAAAAGATCCGGAAATGCTGATCAAACCAAAAGAGTGATCGATACCAGTGCGATCTAATTTGAGATATATAATTCGAGATATACACTCAACTACCAATCTATTCAATTCGATGCGCTTCGGATGTCGCAGCAGCGGTTAGTGTTCACGGGTGGCTTATGGAGTGATACACAGCATCTCTATACCAATGTGCTTCTCACAAATACAACACTTATGGTTAACACTTATGGTTACGATGTAGTGGCGATATAGCTGTTAGTGAGAGACCGATACAACTATCAGAGGCCTCTAAGTGTAGATTGTTTGCCTTTGATATGTCGCAGTGCTTTACTAGGTATATTCGAACTGAGTACAAAGAACGATGTTCACCCAATCTTGCGTCCGCTTCTAATTGAAGCTCTACTAGGAACACCGGGAAAAAAACACATGGAGGCAGCCCCTGAGCTTATTTTTTCCCCTTAAGAGCCTTTTTCTTGTTGGCAATCTCTTCTTCTTTATCTGTGATCAATTGGAAGATGATAAAGATATAAAGATAGACGTGTAAGGTTATATTATACCAAATAGAACATCGCATCTGTTTTTATATTAACATTCACCAATCCTTATCTTAGATCAATTATCTAGCATGCTCTAAATATCAATATCTAGCGTGCGATGTAGAGCGTGTGGTTGGAAAACATGATAGTCTACGTTTCAGAATGGTTGCATGCCTCCTGAGACCCGAACACAATACAACGATTGTTCCTGATGTTAAGATTGCACAATACAAATTTGCAAAGCGAGAGCTATGGCATTTCGGACTACATAGAGTAGTGTAAGTAAGGTCTGCCTATACGCAAAATCATCTAGATTGGTGCGAAGACTGAGAAAACATACCTGTTTCTTGTACATAGTTAACAGCAAATATTACTTTAAAGATTGCAATCTGTACTAATTCAAGGAAGAATATTAAGCACTTTCCAGATTTCAAAAATCTCGCTCGTAAAACATGATAGAATACAAATACGGTGCAAGTGTAGCCCAATCAACCCAGAAGACTGCCTCTTCCTGGCATCGCAGCCACGCAGTGCGCGCCCAGAATTTTTACAGATGTACATATACATACAGACTTGCACAAAACATACATTACACATTCGATTATACACAGTCATTTCGCACATGAAATAGAAGAAACGTGACAGTAAAATTCGCAGAGGTAGGATCACTTACCATCTTCGTACATAGCCCGACGTGCAGCATCCTCGGCCCTCTTTTTTCGAATTTGCTCCAATCGTGCCATGTCAGATTGCGCTTCATCAGTCTTGCCTGCTGCATGCAGTTGCTGATACCTGAAGAAATAAAACGCCCAAACAAACGTTCGTAAAGTCCGTTGCCCCTAATTTGCTTTTTGTACTGTAATTGCGCGAGCAAAAACGCGCACAATGGATGCCGAATAAACATCAACAATTTCTCTCATCTCGGTAGAAATTGACTTCTGCACACAGGTTATATCACGCGAAGCTTACCTTCAACTGGACATTCTAAGAGAATCTTACCTTTACGCTGCTGCGAGAGGACCAATTCTCCAATATATGCAAGCTTTAAGACCCCGTATGACTTGGCAGTCAATATTATATCAAACCACAACCAGATCAGTCCAATTCATGGAAGCAATACTGGAGTTTACACAACCAACTTACCGCCTAGCGTCTCTCTGCTTTTCAATCTCCTCTCTCTCTCTGCGTGACAACTGCGGCTTCGCATTCAAATCGATAGCTCCTGCTTTCTTCGTGATGCCCTTCATTTGGGTAGGGTTATACATATCGTCTTCGGACGAGGATGAGTAGTCTGATTCGGAATCTGAGGGCACTTGCAACTGATTCCAGTTTCCTTTGACTTCGTATACTTCTGCCTTGGGTGCCACCTGGATATTGAGCATATTTCAAGGTACACGAAGAATCGACATCAGATTAACAAAAAGTATCGAAAATAAACTTTATATTAGATTAATGAATAAATATTGAAGCTACAATTTGCAGAAGTATATCCGGGCCAACAAGATTCAAGAAGACTGAAACACACAGGACAAAGGTTTATTGGAGAACCATACCAATATGTCAAATTTACTAAAGCCAAGAGCCAGTTTCACATGTGGCATTTATCCGATAACCCACCCAATTAATAGACGATCAACAATGCGTTGCTCTCGAAAAGAAAGAGAACGGCAATAATAATACGTGATTTTTAATCAATGAATAATTGAACTTCTCATCACTCATCAACAAACTATGATACAAAGGCACCATGTCATCACATATCAAAATATCAACATGAAAAACAGACACGCACACTACACGCGTACACAAGTACACACCACACACAAACACACACACACACACATATATATATATATAAATACATATATATATGTGTGTGTGTATCTATATATATATATACGTATATATACATTCACACAACAAAAATGATCTACACACGGATATACACACTCACACACACACACATACACATACACACACACACACACATATGTATAT